ACCCTCAATCACAGCACAAGGGAGCTTTTTGTTTTTTTGTTCTTTTTTTCTGTTGTTTGTCCAGTACGCCCTCACTGAGGGCACAGTCACACGAGCACCTCATAGAATGTATCTGATGGTTATAGAGGCTTTCGGGAAGTTTCTTTTTTTTCTTTTTCTTCTTTTTTTCCCCCTTGTTCCTTCTTGGATCAAAGTGCCCCGGCTCGGCGAAACTCAGTGCGCAGTGAAAATCAGGCTCGGCAAAAACAGGATCGGAGGTAGTGGTGGTTTAAGGTTTGCTTGTTGTGGATTCTGTACAAGGGCAGAGTGTCCAGTCAGAAAGCTTTCTGGCTTGGGTTTGCATCATCATTCACTGAATAGTGCAGGATCAGTTAACCATTTCCAGATGTGCTGATAAACAACCAAACATACCAAACAAGGGTAGAAACTTAGAAAGTGTCAAGTCGTTATCCGGGCTTTGAGTAGCAGCTGGGAAGAGTCAGGCTTTCAGTCGCAGTTCAAAAAGAGACTGCTTCGACTTCAGGAATGAAACAGGTGCAGGATAGTGATGAGGACAGCTTGATGTAGTCCAACCCTCCTTTACATCAATGAGCTACAAATTGGTCCTGACCAGAAATTCAGAGGTGGCTGAAAGGGGGGAAGAAAGAGGGAACTTCCGCAAAGTCACCACAAATAGTTCTGGCAGTCCTCAACAGTGACCGCTCCAGTGTGTTTCAAGGGATCCTATATTGTGTCCAAGTTGTCTTTTTGTAACACCTTCCAAGGTGATCCAGCACATAGCGAGATTGCAAGGCTCATATTGAGAACCTCAGGATGTTTTTTGGACTTTATCCTCATCTATTGTGATTGAATTGAAATGATGTTCGAAATGATCTTTCCTCATTCTCTCTCCAGATATAATTGACTCTAGACTCTAGAGGCTTTGCAAATCTGAGAAAAGCAGCCACTCATGTTAGCATTCTGAAATTCCATCATGTACCTCTCACTGGGTAGTTCCCCAAATGTGCACAGTGAGTCCCCGATATAGATTCTCCGCAAAGTACCCGCCTCACCAAAGTTTTCCCCCACTAAAGTGATCCGCGTCCCTGGTGGTCCTGCTGTTGGGGCGACATAATCAATAACTGGAGTGAGGCGCTCTACGTATCTGAAGCAGCAAAACCGTCCATTTCTGTGAACATCGCCATCCACAAACACCACTACCGTCAAGGGTTCTTCAGGCTGGACTGCTGGATTTGTCTTGCATACCACCTGTCAGTATGTGCACAGCCAATCCACATTTGCAACAAATCTGCTGTGGCAGACGTCAGGTCCCATATAACTAATTACCATGCATCAAGTGCATTTAACAGACCTTTCTTTGCATTTTTTAAGAATCGGGTATTTTTACCTTTTTCCTAGGCTCCCAGAGTGGCCAGGGGGTCAGTTGCCCAGCCGGGCCAAAAAAATAAAAATAAAAATAAAAATAAATATTTTTATATTTTATTTTTTATTGGTGAAGAATTTCGATGTGACCCTGAGGCAAAAGTTGTTCAGTTTATTTTCCTGCATAACATAGTTGTTTTTCGGATTTTTTGAAGTTTCTTTTCTTTTTTTTTTTTCTCCCCGCTGGGACCTTCCCTGGTCCTTGCACGGGCTGGCCACCCGGGACCCGGGCGGCCCGGCTGGTAGCCTAGCTTTTTCACTAAATAATGCTGTGGACTCGGGTCTCCCTACCATAAAGGAGAGAAGCGTGGAGGGTGTTGTACGCTATACTCTGACTTGCCGGAGGAATAGGAACCGGACTGATGCTCCCGAGAATGGATATGGAGCTGAATGCCACAAGCTCTGTTTTTTCAACAAACAAAAAAGAAAAGCATCTAACAGATGTAACAACTGGCGAAAGAAATTCAATATAAAATCAGGGGTCAGCCGGCCCACCCACACTCTCAATTTTCACAATAGTCCCGACTGTCCTGTTGGTTGAGGGCCAGCAGCGTCTGAAATCATGGCTGTATGCCTAGACTGCTTGCATTCGAGTGGGGACAACCCAAGGACAATCAGAGGCCAGGTTGGTTGGGCCTCCAAGACCACGCTCACATCTCAGAACCTATCGAGGTTCTCCCACTTGTTGGCTGCTGAGGTCTATTCGAAAGGTGGCAGAAAAGACCGACCGTGCCAAGCCCCTGTAGCTGAAAAGTGCGTGCAGCTGCTGCCGCTACTGAGATAAAAATCCTTCGGACTTTCGTCAGAGGAGTTGTTGTGCTGGGCGTCCCTTGCATTGATTCCATAAGGTAGTGGCGGCAGACTGGGCATCCAAAAGCATGAAGGCACCAACGGGCCTAGCTCAGTTGGTACACCCACAAACTGTTGAATTACAGACCTGAGCTCAAATCTAACTGGAACTAGATGAACGGAATTCCTGAACTACCTCGGGCTGGTCACTTTCACGATGATATCTCATGGTCGTCACCCTTCCGAACAAAAAAAAAAAAAAAAAAAAAAAAACAGATGAAGGCAGCACTACACTGAAAGGTTGCACCAGACCCCTGCGCCCTGGTGTATATCGGGGCACCACTTCAGATGGGTGTGTTACATCCTTCCTTCATGTCAACGGTAAGCTACAGAAATTTTCATCATTTTTCCCAATTTTCAACCCCCCATACAATTCAAAATAAAACATAACCAACCTATGTGCTGTTTGACTTGCAAGGACAGAATTTGTTTCCTCCTCTCTCTTTGTCAATCGCTCAGAAGAACTGCTCCTCTCAATATCTACATCTACAGTCCTCAGTGTCTCTCGTACTCTCAGTGGATCATGCTCACTCAGTCTGTCTCCAGACTCTCCACCTTATCTACATCCACACTCACTCTTCGGGGTCTTTTTTCTCCTTTTCTTTTTAAATAAATGTACAGTCTTCGAGGTCACTCCTACACTGAGTAGACAATGCTCACTGTGCAAAATTTCGGTAGAATTTCGGATTGCTTCTTCCACCTTCTTTCCTCTACCCCTCTACCTTTTGGGGGAGAAGGGGGAGACACAGAGGACTGACTGATTATTGATCCGCACTTCATTGGCGGATACTCCGTGAACTTCCGTGCCCTCGCCAGCTAGCTATAGGCTACGTGAACTCCTTGGAAACAGTTGAGAGGTTGACTACGAGGGAGGACGAGATCTTCACTTGCTGCCTCCGATGCCCCTCTATATCCGTTTTGTATCTCTATTCACAGAGAGGACTCTCTTCTTTCTATCTTTCTTTCTCCCTTCTTTGTGTTTTTTCCTTCTTGACAAAGGGCGACGGCCTTAAACCACCAGTACTTCCTAAAGTCGTGCCCGTTAACGCGCCACGATTTTAGGAAACGTACGGGCCACTACAGGAGCGCCCAAATTCATCCAACTAGAAACGTTTCTACTCTATTTTTTTCCGCGGCCGATAGCTGGGCCAAGTACTGCTGGTTTAAGATGTCATCTTTCAACTGACCGGCCCCAGGTAAATTCAGAGTTACATCTGGTTGCATCTGGATCCGAACTTGGGTCTGTGTTTCAACCGTTCATGGGTGTACAAACTGAGCTAGGCCAGTTGGTATCTTTTCCTCTCTCCCATTCCCTGCCCTCCTCCCCTTTCATTTCTATATTATGCCGATTCACTTGCATCTAGTTGCATCTGGATCCGAACTTGGGTCTGTGTTTCAACAGTTCATGGGTGTACCAACTGAGCTAGGCCAGTTGGTATCTTTCTCTCTCCCATTCCCTCCCCTTTCATTGATTGTTACATTATGCCAATTCAGACTCCTGAGCCGTAGCAGTACCTCATTGACGTCTTTTGTTCTCATCACGTTATTGCACAATCTTCTTTTTTTTTATTACCATCACAGCACAGATTGTCTTGATCCATTGCTGCATTCATTATTCGCCTCTCTCCATCCTCGGCTGTGGCGGACCCACCGGGTGAGGTGCTCCGTCTGGGATAGAGATGGAGATGGAGGAGGCGGGTGGAGCAAGATGGCACAGCGCAGCTCCCACGCAGACTCCAGCGCATGTACTCCAAACTGTGCCAATGTAAAATGACCCAAAGTACAGACTCCGGCTGGGGTATACCCCAGCGGACTGACTGGACTGGACTACCCCGCATACAACACAGGCCTATGAGAACAGGCCAAGGGGCTGGTCTCACAGGCCAACCAGAGGTCCGCTAGACGATCCTCGGCCTGTGATGGATCGCCTAGATACAAGCACGCTTCCTCCAAGAAGCGGAACTCTACCAAAGAAAAGAAAATCCGAGTAGTCTAGGATGCGGAGCAAGCTCCATGTTGAGTCCATGCGATGCAACCTAGGATAAAAAATGTCACAAAAACAGCACAGCTAACAGCCTAAGTGAAAGCAGAAGCAAATAACTAGTATACATGTCCTAGGAAAACAAAAAGTAATGACAACTAAATCCTAGAATGTTGGAGGCAGTAGCCTCAGCCTGGAAACAACTGACTAGTGTATAAGTCCTAAGAACAGCAAAAGCAGAAACAACTACATCCTAGAAATGTTAGAGGTAGTAGCCTCAGTCTGAGAGCAACAAAGCAACAACAAGACAACCATACGTCACAGGAGGAATGTGTCGCAAACCACAGGGTGGGATGGTCTTTGAGGGTGGCGAATGCAGCCTAGGGGTCAATAACTCCTAAGGGCATCCACACATAATGACAAGGAGACACATGTCATCAGGCTCAATGAGGGTAGGGAACTGGGAGCGAACAAAACCAATGACCCTAACAGATAGACCATCAGGGCGGGTAATGCTCGACTAAAGGGGGTGACCGCTATGGAGGGTCGACCATGCAAGGGAATAAGGGAGCCTGGTATACTGGGCGCACCTAGATGAAGCATGCAAGGCTGCCTAACTAGGGTGTGAGGGCCGGCAAAGGGTAGAAAAAGTGATGGGTAAGGGAATCATGCAAATGACTCCTAAGGTGGGGGAAGTCAAAGTTGGATCCGTAAGTTGGGAAGCCAGGGCAACGCTACAGTCCCGATGCCTATGTGTATACCAAGGGAGAGCCCAACTCAAAGGAACCCAGCTAGGGTAGACCATCAGGCGACACGACCAGGGTACTGTACAGGGTAAGGTGGTAAGAGAGTGACGACGTCTGAAGTAGGCAGAGTTGATCGTGACGAAGGCCGTGAAGCTTCGTCGAGGAAGAGTCGCAACGATGAGAAGTCGGGAATGTCGTCGAGGAAGAGTCCCAACGTCGACAAGCTGAAGTGGCAAAACTGGAGTGGATGGAGTACTGAGAAGTCAAAGACGTAGGAAGATAAGTCAGAGTCAATCGTCATATCGAGCAGGACGACGACGAGTGCACTGTGGACGCTCAGAAGCATCTGGCTGCTGTTGAAGGTCTGCCTCGGATGAAGCAGGCTCAACTTCAACGGTCTCCTCAGCCGAGGGAGAAGGAAGAGGGTCGGTGGGTTGAGGAGGAGCAGTCAACCCAGCATGACGAGCACGGCCATAGGCACGCACCAACATGCGAGCGTGCTGCAAGTGCTCGAGGGGCTCCCAAGTAGCCTCCTCATCAGGGTAACCCTTCCAACGTACGAGATACTCGACGTGAGGAGGGTTGTCGTTGGTGACTCAGCGACCAATGATGTCTGAAACGAGGAACTCCTCGTGGCCGTCCACCATGATGGGTGGAGGGCGCTCGTATGGTCATCCAGCGAAACCCTAAAACGGTCTGCAGTAGGGACGCAGTAACGAGACGTGGTAGACATTGTGCACATGAGTTTGGTGTAGGTAGTCTAGCAGCTTCACACGAAAGTTGACCCGGCTAGATGCCGTATCGAAACCAACGGCCTGGAGAATGCGGCATGGGGCGAAGAAGTGACGCCGGAACTTGCGAAGCGTGTCCTCTTCGAGCTGTAAGTGGCGGGCATCGACAAGCACATCATCATCGACTTTGAATGGATGATCCATCCCCGATCGGTTCCCACATGCGCCCATGCGAGTCTGGGAAGCGGCTATGTGCTCATGCGCGGTCTTCATGATCGACGTCATGCGTGCAACCCAATCATCCAGCGCGGGACAACTCGTATGGGGTGCATCTGTGACGGTCGAAGGAAGTCCGAGGGAACACGATGGTGATAGTCGAGGTCGCAATAGTAAGGCGACATCCCCGTTGCTGGCGAGACGGCGTGGTTGTAGGTTATCTCCGCATGCGCAAGATGGAGATCCCACTGCTAGTCGTCACGAACAATCTTTCGGAGAATATCCCCAAGAGTCCTGTTCGTG